TGGGGGAAGCCCACTGTCATGTCAACTGCACAACTGTTCCACAGCAGTGGTGCTGCGAGGTAGCCCAAACTAGCCCAATAGGAGAGACTCCACGGAAAGTCCTGAGACTACATGAAGAAAGAGGAAGCCTGCCCCCCTGCCAGTCCCAGCTGCTCCAACCCTTGGCGGTTTCAACTGCAGTGATCAGGAGCCTGATCTGCTCAGCCTGCTGCTTCCTGAATCCCTGAACCACAAGAACAGTAAAAGATACTGCAATAAACCAAACAAAAATTTTAAAAAGAGCTTTAAAACAAAACGTCTCCAACCTCCCTCCCCCATATCATTTGCCAGTATTTTGTCTTTTCTTTTGACCATATTAATATATAAAAATAATGTATAATACTCCTTATTATTTCACATAGATCAAGTTTGTTTGGATTTATGTGTATGCTTAGCACTTTCTTTGTACCCCAGATTTTCATTCTGGAGTAACATTCTTCCTGAGATACATTGTTTAAAATTTCTCTCAGTAAAGGTCTATTGATAATAATCTGTTTTTCAGAAAGATTTCTTTATTGAAACATTTATTGAAATAATCACCGAAAAAATGGCTTGTCAAACACATTTCTAATGTTGAGAGTTTTTACTTCCAGCACTTTGGAGATATTTTCCCACTGCTTTCTGACTTCCATTTTTACTGTTAGAAGTTTGTTTTTAGTAATTTTTTTTTTCTTTTTCAGGCGATGTATTTTATTTCTGACTGCATTGAGAAGTTTCTTTAGTTGGGTTTCACTAAAAACTTTCTAGGTTTGCATCATTTAAAAATTTAATTCATCATTTAATACTCTGTGTAAAGATTACATTATTCATTATTTTTGGAAAATCCTCAACCCTTATCTCTATCGTATAGTTCCACAATTCCACTTTAAGGTAGCCCTTCTCATTTTACTCTGCTTGATTGTGGGGGGTGCTGGGGATCAAACCAAGTCATTTTGTTCTACATGTTTTTGTCTTGCTTTTGTATTTCCTACATCCTCATATCAAGAAAAGTAATTTGCATTATCTTCTAGTTCACCAATTCTTTCTTCTGTTACATCTAATATGGTATCTATCCATTTCAACAATTGTACCTTTCATTTCTAAAATATTTATTTAGTTCTTTTTCAAGTCTATCTAGTTAATTTTTATATTCCCTTATGGGCCTGGCCTGTCATCCTTATTTTTTCCCACAAAGATTTCATATTTAATTATATACTGCATCTGACAATTCAAGTAAGTTCTCAGGCTTTTATATCTTATTTTTTGTTTGGTTTTTTGTCTCTGAGGACTCTGACTATTGATGGTTTATGTACATTTGAGTGTTTGCTTATGAGCTTCTATTTGAACATAAAACATGGGAATTCTGAGACCTTTCTTATAGAAGAAAATCCTTATACTTATTTCTACTGGGAAGCTGGGTATTGCTACTGACCTGGGGCCACACAAATCTCAGGCTTAACATGGGACACAGGTTAACATGGTAAGTACAGGGCTTGGTCTCCAGTTCTAAGTTTTGGTATCTGAACTTTATAATTCACAATGCTTGGTCTGGTTTTAGTTCTTGATTTTCTGTTCTGTTATGGGATTTTTGGGGGTGGGGTATGTAAATACCCTAGGAGTTTTGCCTAAATTTGGCAAGTCCAACAATGCATTCTAGAGTATATTTTATCCAGGAACAATATGAAAGGCAATAGGAGAGTTCTTGAGTAGCAATTCCAGATGCTAACCAGGATGGCTGCTCCTGGATGCCGCTACCTTATTTCCTTTATCTCTGGACAATCCTCATGGTAAATAATTTTATTCCCAGTTGAAAGAAGATAGGGTAAGTAACTAGGGTTACATAACTGGCAAGTAGCAGTCCTCATTGGTACTAGAACTTGAAAACACAACTGTTTAAAGCTAAAATCTATGTTTCTCACTACTATGCAATACTTCCTCTAAGACACAAACTCCAGAGATTCACATCTTTTTAGGGGTGTGTCTTTTTCTTCTCCTACATGCTATCTCTCATGCCCATTTTAGCACCTGCCTTCAAATTCCTTTATATCATTGCAGATGGTGGGCTGAATGGCCATGAATGACTGCCATGCTTGGGTGCAAACATTGATGTGCTGCTCTTAGTTTGGACAGAAAAGAAAAAAGTAGATAGCAGAAGAGATGGAAGTTTTAGGAACATAATCTGAGACATATCATATTGTTTTAAAGAAAAATTTCTATAACCTTTTCAGGCCCAAGTTACTTTCCTTAAAGCTTGTATTATTTTTAAAGGCCCATAAATAAAATAAGAAAATTGCTCTCCCTGTTATTATCTCTACACTCTCAATTTCCTTTAGTAAAATTAGAGGCAATAAATGATGGCTACAATCTCTTCTACTTACACAGGAAGAGATGAATCAGATTATACTTGACACCAGAAACCTCAAGATAAACATCAGGGTCTCATAGCAAGTCTTCCTAGTAAATTTAAAATTATGCACTTAGAAATTTTAAGATGTTGACTACCCCATGATTTTTACTCTACTTATTCTAAAAGCTTTTGTTTTTCTAATTCATATCAATTTAAAAAAAGATAAAAAAGAGCAACTAAAGTTTTCCTAGGTAAGTTTTCCACTAATAGTGTTTTGAAATACTTTTTATTTAAAAAGTTCATCTCTGCAGTTCAAAAACAACTAATACCAAAAACTATTAAACTTCCTTTTTTTGTGGGCGGAGTGTGCCAGGGATTAAATTCAGGAGCACTCAACCATGGAGCCACATCCCCAGCCCTATTTTGTATTTTATTTATAGACAGGGTCTCACTGAGTTGTTTAGCACCTTGCTTTTGCTGAGGCTGGCTTTGAACTCTAGATCCTCCTGCCTCAGCCTCCCAAGCTGTTAGGATTAAGGCAAGTGCCACAGTGCCTGGCTTAAATATCCTTTTAATAGATAAATGAAAAATTCAGTTTGAGGAAGATTTGGAAATATAATTGTTTATGTATCCATCCATTCTATAAACATTTCCCATACATGTCCTTAATGCCAAGCAATGTACTGGGGTCTCAAAATACAGGAAAAAGATTCTTGGCCCCAAGATGCCCATCTCTGTTCTATTGCCTCTATTATGTCTGAGAGGAAATACATCAGACTTGCTGCCTTTTAAAAGTGGGTCCTCATTTACCAAGTTGGTTACCCCCAAAGTTCAAAAATGAATTCTTAATGTCATAGTAAGATAACCAATTAAGTTTCAGTTTTTATTTTTAATAATTTTTTCAAATACTTAGTACCTCTGAAAAATCATGAACTCCTGATTTGAGCAAAATGGCCCACTGAATTTTCAACTCTATCAAAAACTCAGAAATAAAGCTTCAAGAGCTTGAATTGACCCCAGTGAATTTTACCCCTTCTGTGAGTAATGGAGCCCTCAGAAAATATCATGAAAAGTATAGACATGCATGGACATGAAAATATTTTATAAACTTGAGGAAAGGGTCTCTGAAATTTATAAAAGCTTTACCACAGATGCAAATACCATGGTCATGTCTTTTCACTGTGAACAGCTTCATGGCTAGAGTCTCATGTCATTCCCAACCTTGCAGTCCCTGTCCCAGAGTCAACTTCAGAAAACATTTCATGAATGAGTGAATTCTGTTCTTCTGTTCTTAGGAAGTTCCCATTTTAATCTTCCCTCTCCCCATGAATTTCCAGATCCTCAACTTCATTTATACATTTTCTTTTCTTTTTGTACCCAGGATTGAACTCAGGGGCACTTAACCACTGAGCCAAATCCTCAGCCTTTTTGGTATTTTATTTAGAGAAAGGATCTCGATGAGTTGCTTAGGGCCTTGCTAAATAGCTGAGGTTGGCTTTGAACTTACTATCTTCCTAATTCAGCCTCCCAAACTGTTGGGATTATAGGCATGGTCCACCACGCCCAGCCATTTATACATTTTTCTAAAACTTATTTGCTCAAGACAAATCTGACAGGCTAAAGAATCCTCTTTCTCAAACTCTACTTTCAGAATTTTCCTCATTTCACCTCACCAAAGAAAGCTGAACCTCCTAACAAATATTACAATGATGCAGTACAGACTACCAGGCCAAGAAACAAAGAAACATTTCCAAAACAGCTTCTCAGGAAATACCACCCCCCAAAAAAAAGAAAAAAAAAGGAAGACTATCTCTAGATGAAACAGAAAGGGGCTGTGCTTTATTTCATCCAGGGAACAAACTCTGGGAGTTCCCCATACCTTACTTACATGTTGAATAATTAGAGGTCAGAAGTGAGATGATTATATTGGATCTTACTGTAACACTTATTTTAATTCATTCCTTATTGTGAGATACAAGGTCTCAGAACAGTGTCTTTCTCTTTCTTTCTCAGAGATTGACTCATTCTCTATAATGAACAGTCCTTAGAAGGAGCTGCTAACAACTTGCAGGTAGGCTTCACCAACCAGAGACCTATAGCAGCTGCTGAGATCTCTAGAATTGATGCAGAATTTTCCATTTGCTCTCCCAAATATGATATGATATCATATCATATCATCAATAGAGTATAATTGCACATTCTTGTATACTCTGACAATATTGCTATTTTAATGCATGCATATGCACGAGATGGGACATTTATTTTTATTTTGTTGTATTAAATCAGTTCACCGTTGCCAAACAATAAGTTGGAACTGAAGCCAATAAATTAGAAAGTAGTAGCAAAGAGTGTACAGAATATTGTGCTGTTTCTTTAAGCAAAACAATTGATCTTCATGTTATTTCTACTATCTCTAATGGCAAGCAATAGAATCCCAGAGGAAGCATGAAACAGTGTTTGGATTCCCATAATCCTTCCTAGTTTATTTACGATTCTCTCTTTTATCCTTCCTGCCTGCCCAGATGGTTTTACTCTTTGTTTCCCGAACTGAATTATGCTTACTTCCCTTAAGATGCTAAATACTTCAAAAGCTTCCCTCTTTAGTTCCGTACAAACTGAAGTTATAAACTCTTACCTTTGCCGAATTATGCTGGGATTAGCTGTCACTAAATGACTTTTGGATCCAACATCTTTAGTGTATTCACTTGACAAGGGAGGAAGATTGCATCTAGAGACAAAAGAACAAACACATTAGAATGATTTGCATACTTTTAAATCAAGTCAGTTAAAAATGACACAAATAGGAACTTTAATTCTAGCTCAATTCACAAATAACTGTTTTTACCACCTTTCCCTTTGAATAGACATTAGATGACTAATTAACCATCAGCATCTTCAAAATGCTGTCAAAAAACTAGTGCTGTTTTAGAAGAAAGAAAATGTCAGCTACAGAGTTAAATGATCTATGAAGGGGAGAGACAATAAGTAGAATGTATTGGTTCCATTTAAAATATCTTTGGTGTAATAAACTTGAAATTAGGGCTCAGGAGGTAGAGGACACAAGACCTACAGTGTTCTCTGCATACCCCTAAGACCCAAGAGACACAGGAATTATGTGTGCTCATGTTTTTCTTTCTTTTCTCAAAATGTAAATTATAATAGCACATTCAGGGCAATGTACTGTTCACCTAAATCAATGCATGTCTAATTTTTGTGTAGGTGGTCAATGCATAGGTTGATTATTGGTGAAGACATAATGACCTGTCATCCAAGGAAACACAGTGACTCTGCACCATTCTTGTTCAAATAGAAAGAGTACTGGTGCTATTCCTAGTGAGAAAAATAGTCACTCCCTCTCACCCGCAAAACATCACCCCATAGTCACTCCCTCCCACCAGCAAAACACCACCCCAATTTTGATTATTCTTCTTGGTCAAACATCTTAACAATGATCTTCAATGGAAAATATAGCCAATTCAAATGCAAATCTCATGGTTTTCTTCCTGTGGGACATTAGACAAGTAAACTAATTTGCTGGGCCTTAGCTCCCCCATTACATAAAATGAAGACAATGATTTCTTTCTTGTTGGGTTCTTGTAAAGACTAAAAAAAAGAAATGTATAAAAGTCCCTACCTTCATGCCTTATATAGAGTAAGAGTTCAAAAATGTCTCAATTAAGATATGCTATAGAAATATTAGTTATATATTTATGAAAATTCCAAAAGAGCCTATCTTTTCCACTAGTTTTCTTCTATGAATGTGTCCTAATTGCTCATCTCCACCCATATGCCTAAATTGACTCCTGCCACATCACAGCATCTATAACTTTCTATGACTTCAAAAAACCAAAGCTTCATTTATATATACATAAAACTATCTTACAAATATCGAGATCTCTGCCAGCTACTAAAATTTCCCTTAAAATGTGCCCCAGGAGATGGAACCATCCATGCACCCACTCAGCTGATCAGCTCAAGCTCCGTGATTTTTGTTTTTACCCTGTGACTCCTACCACATCACAGAAATACATCAGTGTTGACTTAGAATATTCCTTTCATCTGCTCTTAGATAAGGATATACTAGTTCTTCTGAACTACCCACAGATCAGTTGGTCTGCCAGTTGGTGACCTGTGGCATGCTCACTGAGGTCTAACACAGTGAGCATTGTGTCACAGAGCCCACTTCTGAGGCATCTCCAGTCTAGTGGTCACCCATACCCCATGCAGTTTCCTGAGGATGTTCCCAAGGAGTGAGCTGATGGGCTGACAAGCAGGCTGGGCAGGCATGGAACTGGCTGTGGTCTCGTGACTTAACTGTCCTTTGCAAGGATGAAGATAACTTCTGAGCTAAAACACGGACTAAAATTTGACCACTAGTCTCATAAAGCAGCTTTGATCTTGATTTCCCTCAGTAACATCTGAGAAGAAACCATTTCATACTAAAACTGTCAGCTCTGAATACTGCTGGGGAGGGCTGCTAACCTGTTTTGCCATTATTAAATAATTGGGTTTTTTTTTTGTTTAAACAAAAAACAAATAAAAAAATAAAACAAATTGGTTTTCATGAGTAAACACTTTGTTTTTCTGTGTGTTCCATGGCTCATAGGTCTGAATCCCTCCATCCCTCCTACCACAAAGTAAAAGCTCAAGAAAAACTGGAAGATATTGGTTATATCCTATAATAGAGGGAAATACTTAAAACAATAAAGATAATATTTTATAATTACATTTCTGGAAAATAATGACAATGCATTTTAGTGTAAATATCTGCCTGAAGTTCTTCTGCGCAAATATCTGACAATTTCCTCTATCTCTTTCCTTAGGCACGCACACTATAATTTTAGCTCCTCAATTGCTAAATTGATAATTACATAGATTTACATAAAAGGCACATTTAATATAGTTAAATTGTTTCTAATAAGGCATAATTGTGTAAAAGTGTTTCAAACTTTGCATTATCGTTTTTTGGCACAATTAACAGATATTAACGGCTAAAGTATCTTGGTAACAGTACTCAAATTACTAGAAAAGATCTGATCACAGAACTGGTGGGAAATAAATATTCTTTGAATTGGGGAGTGGAAGTAGGTGAAGAGCAGGCTTGGTGGAGAGGAAAACTTACATAAAAAAGCATAAAATCACTGTGAATTTTTTTATATATTTAAGTGCAAAACACGCATTTGAACATAATTCAAAATTATGTTTCCTTCATTGTCACCCTGAACCACCAGATTCTCCCCAAGATACAATCATTGTGACTTCTGTCTTGCAGATCTTCCAGATAAACTGAATTCACTAATATTCTTTTTTTTTCAAGTGCTGCTTTCAGTTTTAGTGCAAATGTGTACTTTGAATAATGGGAAATTGATTTTTAGCATTTTAGAAGATGTGTTTGAAAATATCTAAGCACAGAAAATCATACAAGAGTCATACCCTAGTCCTAAGGAATCTGGGCTGTAATCTGGTATAGCGAAGCTACAGGAAGGGTTTCTGGATTATTTGCTCACTTTATCTATCCGTGAACCCAATAGTGTAGGATCTGACAGACTACAAGCTTTCTAATCCACATTTACTCACTAAATGTTCAAATTTGAATACATGCTATTAATAATTTTCTAAATGTGCCCCTAAAATGTGCATTAAGCAAACATTTATTACAGTCAAGTAATAATTTATCAACATTTATCACTCCCATACTGTAAACCATAAATAAGACTTAAAATTTCAAATGTGTTATGAAAACAGCATGATTCTTGAAATTAAAAAAAAAAGCACGTTATGCAGAGCTTCAGTTAGATGCCACCTTTTCTGGATCCTATTCAAGCCTCACCTCCCTCATCATTCTGTGAACATGATGCTTAACGCTGTGCCAGATGCACTAATCACAGGTACTCATTAATCCTGAACTTGACTATATCGACAGAGCTTTGCATACAAGGCTAACCTAATGTGGTTTATTTGGGATAAATAGGGCACCACTAGATTATCCCCTGGTCTTCTACACCTTAAGTTGAAAATACTAATCTTCCTAAGGATAGTCACACACGCACATAGGCACGCACGTGTACACATACACACGCACACACACAAGGAGAGTAAGGAATAATAAATACATTTCTTGTTCTGCCTCTTTCTCCACTGTATTAAGACCACTTGAAGTCACTTAACTTCTCTTGAACCTGTGAGTTTAATACTATCTATTCCTCGTTTCTTACAACAGTGTTTGGAAAGAGCAAATAAGCTTATACGTGAGAGCAATTTGAAAAGTTAAACTAAACTCTATAAACTCTGTTGCAATGATATGGTGTTCATATACCCATAGATAAAATCAGAGTTGCTGCACAACTGGAAGCCTGGAGGAACTGCCACTCAGACCCCCACCCCCCGCCCCCAGATTGCAAAACTGAGCCCCAGCATAGGTAAATGACAGGTGGTAGGCCACCGACCTCGTCAAAGGAAGGACCTGTCCTCCAACCCTTTGTGTTCTTTGCTGACTCTGTGGCCTCACCTAATACCAAAGTATTGGAATGAGTACCTGCAAATATTCAGGCCTCTGTCCTTGTCCTCTCTCCATGCTCTCTAGGTGATTTTTCCACTCCTTTGGTTTAAATACCTCTCAGCCCCATCTATAACACAGTCCCTGCTTCTCGGGGCACTGCAGAAGCACTTGTTCTGCCCACAGTGGAATGAAGAGGATTCAGCCCAGAGCCACTCTTCCTCAGAGTCTCCCACTGCCCCCACTATGTGTCTGAATTCCTCTTATTACAGCAAGTACGCCTTCAGGATACAAGTCCCTGACAGAATTGATGAACATATTTCCAGATCTAGCTTGAGTTCCAATATGCAGTATGTGCTCAATGAACAGATTTTGCACTTAGTTAAGGGAACTACTTCTTTATTTTTTTTCATTTTCCTATTGTTTATATTGCAAAAAGAAAAATCACAATGAAGAGGAAAACACAATCCTACACTGGAAAAAATATGCTAGGGCACCCCATGAAGGAAAGGTAGGTGTAGAAAGACCTCCCCACTCCAGCACAGGCTTCACCAAGCGAGAGGAAACGTCTTCCAAGGAGCCCAACGCTAATTCTCTGAGGGGAAACTTGGCCGCCCCTGAGTAAATCAACCTCTTAAAATTTAATTGTCTTTACTTTGCCCTACCTCACTTAGCTCGAGCTTAGAAGCAGGTTAGGGTTCTCTTTGCTGTCTTTTGCTGCTCCTAGACAGTTACTTATTTGTCTTTGAAAACAAATACAAACAAAAAATCTCCATCCTCCCTCGCTCAGCTTCCTGGCCTCTGTGTTGTTGGTGGTCCTCAGCCTTCCTGGCCATTGGGTACTTGGTGCCTAGTCAATCTCATTTCAGTAAGACTTTAGGGTCCACCTGAAAGACTCCCCTGTGCAGTCTTAGGGTACTTTCTCTTTCTTAGTAACAAACTGTCTTTTCCTACAATGTATCAAGTCAACCCCAGATAACCTCAACTCTGAAATCTTATACCCCAGGGACCCTTCTTTGACTTCACCTCCCACTCGCTCCTGGCTCTCAATGGCCCTGGCATTTGGCCTGTTTCCCTTCTCTTCCACATCTCAGAGCCCACTCCCTATCCTGCCAGGGCTTCAGGGTGTGCTGCTTCACAGGCTCTCCAGCCAGAGCCCTCCATGTTGCCACACCCTGCCCTTCCTCCCTCTCACCAGATCATCTCAAACCTGCACCACTACATTCATTCTCCCTCTTGTCTTCACTTCTACCCCAGCTGCCAAGCATGTCTGCTCAAACTCGCACCATGGTGCAGGTTGCTGGTGCACAACAGCCTGAAGGTCTGGCTGGATGTGTCTTAGCAATTCCTTACCACATCCCTGCCTCCTGTTTTTCCACTGGAACTGATGTGCATGTCGCCACTCTGCTCAGTCCCTTTAACAAGCCCTCTCCTTGTTTGAAAGCTCCTCCCCTCCTCCTTTCTGACTTTCCTAGTCACGCACAGATCCAATCCTTCTTCAATCCCACTTGCTCCTTTCAAATGCTTTTTGTGAAAAACTAAGAAGAAAGGGTATAGAAGAAAGTGAATAAATTAAAATGTCTATTCATTCAGAGCTAGCTTTAGTGGAAGAGCAATTTTAAAAGTTTTAATTAGCCAAGTGCATAATCTAAAAGAAGATCTGAGTGTCTCTACTTGTCCCCACTGCCCTTATGAGCCACAGAGTGGGTACCTCTGCCACCTGTGAGCCTTCTTGCTTTGGATTTCCTCAGGGCAGGTTCCCTCCATCCCCTCAGCGCTCTTCTAAACTCACTTGTATATGAGCTCGAGGGGACACTAAAGAGCGTGCAACAGCTGATTAATCACAAGTGACTAGTTTTGAAAGGCCCCAGGGCTTATGGGAGGGATGGGGGGAAAGGAGAGAAGGCAGAGGCCGCGCTGTGGGTGCTCTCTCTTACCGCATGACAAAATTTGCTTCATCTATTTGACGGCCACAGCCACTCTTCTTCAGAATCCCACCATTTCCCACCACCGCACATTTCTTCAATGGCAGCTGGAATGGGGTTGCCTAGCAACAGAAAACAAGGCGGGTTTTCACTGCAAAGAACACACAACTGCTCATAAAATCATTGTTTACAGCAGACCCTTGGGAGGAATTTGTATGAAGACTGAGTGGGGCAAAAAGAACATGTGGAAAGAAAGATGCCAAGAAGTTTGTAAGGAGCAAACTAGCTGGTTCCTTTGAAATTAAGAAAGCAAAACAGAAAAACCTCCCCAAAGTGTATTTAAATATAACAACATTTTTTTTTCTTTCACATATTGGCCAAACACATAGTAGAGGGTGTTAGCTATGGAAAATACAAAAATCTAAACTAAACACAGGATTATTTTGAAAGGCATTTTAAGCTGTGAATAAACTCAAATGAATTCTATTCCATTTGACTGCAATTTCATTCATTTATACTATCAGCCATTCTCTCAACAAATGTTTCTGAGCATTTCCTATTTTAACTTTTGGGGACAGATACAAGGTACAGAAGTCTCTGTCCTCAGGCTTCTGAACAGAGGACAGGAGGTGAGGAAGAGGTGAGGAGAGTGTGAACTTTAAGTAGCAAACACCGTTGTGAGCTGGGCTATTGCAGAAGAAAAAGCACACCAACTGCCAGGGGAGGGGCCTGGAGGAGCAAGGTGGCCCTTCTGCTCAGCAGACTTGATTGGGGGAAAGCTTCTCACTTGAGAAGAATCTAAAGAATAAATTGGATTTTGCCAAGTAGAGGAAGCAGCATAAACAAAGGCATAAAAGTATTTTCTGGGAGCAAATGTTGTGTTTATAAGCCAATGAACACTGCACGGTTCTATCTAGAACTCAGGAGGCACTAAGGGGCAAGTGACTTGCATTGAGCCAGATAGCATGTGACTTTCTTTCTGCAAACATTGCACTGGACTGCAAAGAAAATTTTCAGTGTACCCAGTGTTCCCTGGGGTGCTATTTATAGTACTAGAGAATATGGAAACCCAGCTATAGCTCTGAAAACAGAATGCATCATTTGGCCTCTTCTAGCTGGGTCAGCAAGAACTGCTGGGTACAGAATTTCCTGCTTGCTGAAACAAGGCACAGCAGGTGGAGTTCTTCGGGGGAAGACCTGACATATATATGTAACTGGTACAGAAAATAACTATATTGATAGTAAGCAGGCCACTGTGGATGAATAATATGGACTATACCAAAAGAACAAGTGGAATTAATACATGAAAATACATTAAAATGGTCTTGCATAGGCATGAAGTAATTAAACCATGAAGGAAAAACAAACAAACAGGAGTCTCTGTGTCACTGATAGCTGAAGTGGGCACTTACTATAGCATAAGATTTTATTCCCCTGATTTCTGTATGTAAGAGGAACAGCATGAACTATGGAAATATTGTTGATAAAGATGCTGTTATTGTTTAGATGTGAGGTATCCCCCAAAAGCTCATGTGTGAGACAATGCAAGAAAGTTTAGAGGTGAAATGACTGGGTTATGAGAGCCTTGGCCTAATCAGTGTATTGATCTACTGATAAAGATTAACTATGTAGTAACCATTGGCAGGCAGGGTGTGGCTGAAGGAGGCGGGTCCCTGGGGCATCCCTTGGTGGTATATAGTTTGTGGTTGTTGAGTACAGCTCTCTCTCTCTCTCTCTCTCTCTCTCTCTCTCTCTCTCTCTCTCTCTCTGCTTCCTGGTGCAATGTCTTAAGCCACTTTTCTCCACCACACTTTTCTGCCATGATGTTTGGTCTCACTTTAGGCCCATAGCAATGGGGTCAACCATCTTCAGACTGAGACCTCCGAAACCATGAGCACTGAAATAAACTTCTCCACTAAACTTGCTCTTGTCAGGTCCTTTGGTCACAGCAACAATACTAACTAAAATAGATGCAGTACTTAAAGTATAATGCCTAGCATTTGCCAGCAGACAGTTAGGAACTCCCTGCATTACTATAGCAGAGATCAGTCCAGAGAGGAGGGACAGGCAAGGAACAGCATCCTATCACATCCAAAATGATACATGACATTTTTCTCAGTTACTCTTGAGAGGAGGGTTTGGAATCAACATTAGAAAAACATTTATTTAGATCTATAGTTGTTAATTGAAGATTTACATATTTATTCTCAAGTTAGCTTGTTTGTCCCACAAAATAAGTATCTACTGTGTATCAACCACTGGTGAGTGACAGGGACACAAGTGGAAATCTATGTTCCCCAGAAGCTTGTATTCTAGTGGGAAAAACAGATAAGAAATAAAGAAACATAAGTCAAATGAATAATGTGTCAGATGGTGACAAGGGCTTTGCAGAGAAATAAGCACTGGCATAAGAGGCTCAGGAGATGCGAGACAGGAAATGCAATTTGAATAGGGTGATGAGGGGAAGGTTCCCAGGAGGCCTGCAAGCGAATCCCTGCCAATGAGGAAACGCACCCAAATATGTGCAGGAAGCACTGGCACAAAGACCTTGAAGGAGGGAACATTTCTGGGATGGGACAGGGAGAACAAGAAGCCTGCTGTGTCTGGAGAGGAGTCAGCTAGGGAGCCAAGTAGGAGAGGAGGTTAGAAGGCTAACTGGTAGGCAGCTGGGGGACAGATTCTGTAGCACTTTGTAGACTCTTGTAAAAGCGTGGGTTTTTATTCTAAGATGAGAATCAAGTCTCTACAATAAGAAGTCAACGTGGGGAGGGCAACATTACAGCATATGTTGGAGCAATCGTTGTGTGTGCTGCTGTGTGAACAGGCTGTAGGTTGTCGTGGGCAGAAGGAAAGACCAGTTAGGAATTCCTTGTAATTCAAGCTTGAGACATTGGTGACCAGGATCAGGGTGACAGTAGTGGTGGTGTGAGAAGTAATCAAATTCTGGAAATACCCTGGAGAAAGAGCCAACTAGATTTGCTGAGCTGGTAGGAACAGTGTTAAGAAAAAAAGAAAGGAACCGAGGATGATGCCAAAGGTTTTGGCTTGATCCACGGTAAGGATGGACTTGTCATTTCCTGAGATTCGAAAGATCAAGGAGAAGCATTACTGAGGGAGCAATTGGAGCTCGGTCAAATACCTCAAGTGTGCAATGACATCTGAGTGTCACTGTCAAGTAAGCAATGGAGCATGTGGCCAGGGAACTGGTCTTTCCTGGAGACAGGAGGTTGACGGTGATCAGCACAGGTATTTAAAGTCAGGAGACTTAAAAGAGCGTACTACAGGGATACTGCTACATCGATGTTCATAGCAGCACAATTCACAATTGCTAGACTGTGGAACCAACCCAGATGCCCTTCAATAGATGAATGGATAAAAAAAATGTGGCATTTATACACCATGGAGTATTACGCAGCACTAAAAAATGACAAAATCATAGAATTTGCAGGGAAATGGATGGCACTAGAGCAGATTATGCTTAGTGAAGCTAGCCAATCCCTAAAAAACAAATACCAAATGTCTTCTTTGATATAATGAGAGCAACTAAGAACAGAGCAGGGAGGAAGAGCAGGAAGAAAAGATTAACATTAAACAGATACATGAGGTGGGATGGAAAGGGAGAGAAAAGGGAAATTGCATGGTAATGGAGGGAGACCCTCATTGTTATACAAAATTACATATAAGAGGTTGTGAGGGGAATGGGAAAATAAACAAGGAGAGATATGAATTACAGTGGATGGGGTAGAGAGAGAAGATGGGAGGGGAGGGAGGGGGGATGGTAGAGGATAGGAAAGGTAGCAGAATACAACAGTTACTAATAGGGCATTATGTAAAAATGTGGATGTGTAACCGATGTGATTCTGCAATCTGTATTTGGGGTAAAATTGGGAGTTCATAACCAACTTGAATCTAATGTATGAAATATGATATGTCAAGAGCTTTATAATGTTTTGAACAACCAATAAAAATAAAAAAAAAATAAAGTCAGGAGACTAGCCAATGAATGCAGACAGAAAAGAGAAGAGGTCTAAGAGAGGCTCAGACTTTTAAACTAAAAAAAAAGAAACAAACAAACAAACAAACAAAGTATCTCAAAAAGGGTTAGGGAAAAATGCCTCAAATGCTGTTGGTAGATTAAGTATGATAACAGCTAAAAACTGTCACTGGACTTAGCAACACAGAAGTCACTAGTGACCTTGACAAGGACCTTGGTTCAACAGTAAGGACAAAAGTGTGATGTGAGTTCAGTGAGTTATACATGGGTTTTTTTGCATAAATATTTAGATATAGTTTATTTGAAAAATGTGAGTTCATCTCATCCTCAACTAGTATTTAGATATATTTACATTATTAAAATCCCCTTAAACTGTTGTTAAAGAGAGGTAATCCTTAGATCTGGGTTTTCAGGCAAGAATCTGAGCCCAGATCAAGAAGAGTAGCAACACACACCTGGAGAAAAATATTGTCTCCTAACCTCCAAATGGCAGGATGATGGGATCATGGGGCAGGTTCAAGCTCCTCCACCATCTGCTGCCTATCTCTGAAAGGAGGATAATACTGCGCAGGATTTTATGAGATTATGTGAGATAAGCCATGAAGCCGCTCCTGAGTCACTGGCACAGTGGGCCACTTATCTTCCTTCCCTCTTCTCATTCCTTCCCTCCTTCTAAAGCATGGACTTGTTCATGCTAAGAAATGCCTAGATTTCACGGGCTTTGATGTAATGAAGGGAAACAGTGATTTCTCTGTCTTAACAATTAGAAATAATTTTATTAGCAAAAAATTTAACTATTATACCTGTTCACTATTAACAACACCTTCACCCCCAAAAGCCCTCCAACAAAAGTCCAGAGGTAACAAAAAAAAAAAAGGCCATTTCTTCTTTCTGATAATATTTTCTTGCTCCTTCTTTATTTCATCAATCTCTAGCCCTTGAACAAATAATTTCATTTTATTTCATTTAAGCAAATATTCTGGACACTCTTGGACATTGATAATACACCAGTGAACCATAATAGCACACCACAGCTTCCAGAGAGGAAACATTTAATTGGAAAAATGCTATGAATTTTTATCCAGCTAACTGATGTAATACTATTATGCTCTATTTTAGACATAGAAT